TGACATATGTATTGAAAGAGGTTGTAAGAACTATCATTCTGCTTTTTTTTAATTAAAACACTGTCGAATTTAATAGAATTATATCAATATACATGGATATGGTTGCCACAGTTTTATCTATAGACTGCTGAAGCAAAACAACTAATGAATGCTAATTCATTCATCAGCTCTTTATATCATTAACAGATCTTTGAACACATTTAATTCTACGATATTTGCAATGTCTATAACAAAATGCACCTTTATTTGTATATTTAGGTATTGTTATATATTAACAGCACATCACCTTAACTAACCTGATTATTTGTGTTTTATACTAATTTAAAGCAGTTAGAGTCAGTGAAAAGTTTCAATGCAAAGCATTTTGGTGCAACCTAACAGCAATTTATGATAAAATAAAAATAATTTTTCCTTATCGCATTTTTTTAATATTTTTCAGTTATAATTTAAATTAAATTATTTTTTTTAAGACCATATAGGTAGTAGCATAAAATATAATAAAAAAAATTTTTTATTTTATAGTAATATACCTCAACAATTGCTGGAATTAATGTCTAAATCATTCACGAACAGATTTCTTCCATTACTTTGATACCAGTTGATTTTCTAATAAATTTTAATAAAATCTGTTCTAATCTGCTATATCTGATAATTAGAAACTGAAAAACACTATAATGATTTGGGAGCCTATACTTCCAATATTATTGTTTTTTGTTTTTCCAAATAGTCTATGAAAATTCTTCCACTTGAATTTCAAAATACGGAAGAAAAAATAAAAGGTAAGTATAAGAATATAAAGGTAAGAATCTGGACAATATTAATGCTAAAGATATCGCCGAATATGTTGAAGAAAGGGGCCGTACAGAAACTTAAGCCTAATTCTGATCAAACCTAGACATAGATATTCCAGGTGTTCTGGAATTCTGCTTATACGAGAGCTGGTAGACACGCATTGCAGGAGATATTATAAGATAGGCCATGTCTAGTTCCATGCCATCCTGTGGTTCAGTGCCCTATAAAGACAGGTATTAACCTAGATACCTCTGTGTTAACTTCTGTGTTTAAAGTATTACTTACACCTTAAATCTCATATTCGAAAATCACTCATATTAAGAAAAAGTTTTTTATTCATGTTTTGTGATTATTTTATTTATTTAAATTTTGATTAAATTGTTTGAAGTTCTTATTGATAAAACATTTAATAATATTTAAAAGATTTCATTATTTAAAATTGATTTATTTGTTTTTGCTGATGTCATTGAAGACTTAAAGTTTTATTTGTTAAATATTAAATAAGAATTTGGAAATGGTTTGATGACTCAAAATTGTATAAAGTAAAAATTAATAAATTTTAACAATCTTTTAACAATTTCTTTAACTAGAATAAATAAAAAAAAATTGATTTTTATTTTTTTTTTTTTGTAAAGCTTTACAGTAGCGGATTTAGGAAAATATACTAAGCAACTAACATTATTGGGTGCTTACTTAAAAGCAAGCAATAACAGGTTAGCTTTTTGTTAAGAATTTTTTTATAATTCATTTTTTACATTCAATAGAATATTAATTAGTTATTGAAAGCACATATATATAAAAAAGAATTATATATTAAAATTTTCCAAAAAAAATTATGAAAAGCAATTTAATGGAATAAATTTTTCCCTATGCAATTAAATTAGCTCACATGCAATGAAATCTTATAAATTTTGAATTGATTAATTGCTTTCAATATCTTTTATATTTGAAGTCTACTTCAGCAATTTGATTTCCGGCTTTGGCCCGAATAGTTTTACTTCTCACTGAAGTTTCGATTTTTTGCTGATTTTTTGCGCTAAATATCTTTAAAACCTCAGAATGGCAAACTGAACATTGCAGATATACGAAGAACTCAGATATATAAATTTGCCATGCCGATATATAATTTTATTTATTTTTTTATATATTATAGAATATGTATGTAGTTAATTTTTAAAAATAAATTCTTTATGTTTAATAATTAAAAATATTTTTATATAGTAGACTAAAATATTTAGTATATAAAAATATGTTTGTTGCATTTAAATGCCTTGAGAGAAAACTTAAAGTATTTGATTCGTTTAATATATATATGTATGTATATATATATATATATTTTTTTTTACATTTTATTTTTGTAGATAACTTTTAGTTAATTATTATTTGAAATTTAATTAAAATAAATTTAAATTCATTATATATAATTATATTAATGTAAATTTTATGCTTTTATGCAATTTTATTTTAAATATATATATATATGTATATTTTTCATTTGATGAATTAAAAATTGAGGAAAAATTAGTTTTGTGTTTGTTTTGTTTTTTTTTGTTGTTTTTGTTTTTTTTTTTGTATATTATTATAAGCTATAAATTTTGTAATTATGGAAGAAAATAGAATTTAAATATTTAAATGTGTTATTAACATTTTTTTTTGTTTACATTTAAGAGTAATTAATTTAATAAAATTTGGTTAATATGCTTATAAACAATTTTGTGTTTCTGCATAATCTTTGTCGATTGTATACGAGGGTTGCCTTCAAAGTTTCACTGTATGTTGTTCTGGTCATTCGTTGCTTCAAGGGTGCTTTGCTTCGTTTTAATTACGCATCATTTAGTTTAGTCATTAACTTATGAACTATTTGATTTATTTTATGTAAATTTGCATTAAATGTAATTATTTTTCATCAAAATTTGTATTGTAGGCCTGGGGCTTTAAGTACATAACCAACAATTATTTTAAAAGTATTTTTTCTGCATAACTGCGGTGTTTGTTTTAAGTAAAATGTCAACAAATTAATGTATTCATGACTGATTCTAATGACAATAAAAGATTACATTAATCAATAATGATTACCACAAAAAAAGTAGATAATTGCCGACGGCCTCTCAAGTCGTAATAATGTATTATTTGATGAACCTTGGCACATCTGTCTTTAAGGGGTTATCAGTTCTTCTATAAACTGACAGAAAACCAACTGAATGAAGTTGTAATTTTGTTTTCAATGATTTCTAAATGAAGTTATCAGAAAATTTTTATGACTCTATAAAAATTTGTAAATGAAATATCTAATAATAAACTAATAATGTTAGTAGCAAGCTTTCTCACAAAAATACACAGCTTTTTCATGCTTTCTGTTTGGGTCTAATAATATAGTTATTCCAAGGATTTATTTATATTAACAATATCGGACAGATAGAAAAAATGACCCTTAAGTATGAAAACCCCTTCTGGTTATCACTAGACACAATAATGACGTTTTCGATTGGTAAATCTGAATTCAATCTAGATTTGCTTCTGAACTTTGAAATTTTGTTACTCAACAAACATTTTTAAAATAATCTAACATTTTTGTAATAGTGTATAATAGAGATTTTTATATTTTCTATAAATACATATTATATCGAATCAACCTGTCAACTCATAACAGCTTTTATTTGCAGTATAATCTAGCTACTCTGGCAGAACATCTAGAGTGTTATAAAGCTAATCTTGAGTGTTATACATTTCGCTCGAGATTTACCAATCACAAATATAAATTGCACTAAAAATAAATCTCAATTACCCTAGATTTCCCCTAGATATAACAAACGAAAACGACATAATAGTGCAAAAGAGTAACACTTACGATAGACTTAAGGATTCTAATTAATAATACAGGAAATAATTGCAAATTGAAATCCTCCTTCAATAAGTCGGAAAAGCTTCTTCCAACTCCAATGCCCTTTGATTTTATAAAATGGAGAGTGAAAGTCATAGTATATTCTTTATGTATACTTTGTTGTTAATAGTCAAAGCTTTATTACATATTACTATCACTAGATACTGGCGTTAAATTGAAGAATTTCTTATATTTCCAATATAGAAATTAATGGTATCTCCTCTTTGTGGATAACGAGAGCCATATCAAATTATTTGTATATATCTTTTTCGCTGTTGATAGCCAAAATTTTAACAATTACTATGATATCCCCCATATAAAAATATGCTAAATCGTTAAAAAAGACAGAGTTCAATTGGTCTATCTTGAACTATCTGTAATAATAATATTGTAATTAACACAATACATAAATTTGAAATAGATGAGTTATCTGATTACAATCTCATATAAATATACTCACTGATAAATAATAGTCGAAGGGATGTCTATAAACTGAGAGCAGTTTTTACTGATACTTGCCTAATTGGAGAATGGGCGAATGAGAATACTACTAGTGAATATTATACTATTTAAAATTAACCTTCATTTTCACTATATGTGCCATGTTTCTTGAACTAAGAGAATAGATAATCAACATAAACCGCGCTATAATGGACCTGTTAGTAATCTAGAGATTTCTAATTATAAATGAGTTAAAGGTAAGATCGCTTTGATTTAAAAAAAAAAACACCAAAAATTCATTACTTTAAGTCATAAGTAAGTTAAAAGCAAAATTTATTTGGCTTTCGTCTTTTTCTCGGGCTTAACAAACCTCAAGAGTTAACGATATTCACTTATAAATGAGTTAAAGACAATATCTTGATGACTTCTTTCTATTTCTCAAACTTAAAAAAGATTTTAAGGGATTTCGAATGTATTATTGTTATGAATTTATAATTATAAAACTTATAATTATTAAATTATAAATAATTATAATTTTTAATCATAGTTGAAAGTAGAATCTTCATAACTTTTTTTCTATTTTAGTTTTGATTTTTAACGTCAGTTATGAAAAAGTCTCTATTTTATTTAATAGAAACTATTGTACTCAATAGCAAGATTTTCGAACAATAGTGAATTGCAACAACAAAATTTTGCTATTTTTAATTAAACAAATCTTTTTATTTTCCAAACTCAAAAAGACACTCAATGGTTGACGATTTTCACTTATAGTTAGGATAAAGGTATAATCGCAAACCGAGTTTCATATATTATCTAAAAGAACGTTCCTTTGAAGAGGATATAATCAATTAACACGATTAAATAAATATAAAGTATTTACCACACTTCGAAAGTTATAAGGAAAGATAATGCTTGTATTAATAATGGTTAATGTACTAGTGCAATTTACGAAAGGTTCCTTCTCTGTATGCATTTACATATTATCAAAATCACAAGCTGCTATAGAAACGTAATAAGTCGAGTTGAGTTTTATTTTTGTGTATTGGTTGCACTATCAGTTACATGTCTTAACTAACAGCGAGACTGCGAAGAACTGTATAAGTCCTTCGCAGTTTATATATCCAGTGCAAACATATTTTTGACATTCTGTGTTTATCCTACTTTTGTTTAATTTCGAAAGAGCAAAAATAATTGTTGGTTTTCAAAAAGGGTTTACAAGACTGGATCTTCAATTTTTTTTAACACATATCTGATTTTTTTTTTTATTTTTATTTTTTTTTACAAGTAAATATTTCTTGTTAAAGGATCTACCATCTGGGTTAAGATTTAATTACCTTAAAGCATTAAGCTGAACACAATTACTTTATATTTTTAAAGTAATTGTGTAACATTTATTGAATTTTTTTTTAATTACTGAAGTGTAGTGTGGTGTGGCGTTGCCAATCGTGAAATTTTTGCTTCAATCCACGCAAACCGCTGTGCTACTGCTGCGCTGTTTGCGGGGGATTTTTTAACTTTTATGGTTGCGTTGCCATGCGTATGCGAGCGGTCGCCCTTGATTTGGTATGAATTTCCGCGGTGCGTAAAGTGATGCCGAATATGTCCTCGTGATAACGATTCTCATCCTGTTAAAATATGAAAATAAAATGTGAATAATATAAAAATAATATAAAAATTCTATTATGCGAGAAAGTCATAAAACGTAGTGGACAAGATATGAGAGCATGTTATGCTGTTGTAAATGTCACATTTATATTTATTTATTTTAATTGAATTTATTGTTTTATTTCACTTTATTCGCTACTAGCAGTAGTAGTTTGCTGGCTTGCAGTAGACTTTATACCGCATTTTGTTTTTTGTTTTTGGTTTTTTTTTATTTGTTTATATCTTATTTTAATATTTATGGAAATGTTGAGCGGAACTTATGACAGTTGCCACACATACATCAGCAAACTTCTGACTGTTGCACTTCGCTGGCTCGCATTATGACATTTATTGTTGTCAGTTGTGTTCACTATAAACATGTACAATACACTACAGATCACACGTATAAGCGCACTCACTCTAGTGTTCACTCAAGCTGTGCAAACATATGCTTTACTATTATTTTTTCATATTAAAATTTTAAATATTTGCACAACATTTGGAAAGTTTTGCACAATCAGCAAAATATTCCAAACATTGACAAAAAAAAAACCAAATATAAAATAAAAAAATTAAAAAAGAAAAGCGATAAAATAACAAAATAAATAGTTTAAACAGGCACACACGCACTATAAGAGTAGAGTATAGCCTGCAGTCAAATTGTTAGTTCATGCACATGCACACATACGCATACCAGCGCACACACACAAATATGGGCAGCACGTTCTTCAGCATCGGCAGCATACTTACACGCAATGTTAGCAAAAATTTCTCAACTTCCGCTTCGCTTTTTTGCTCTTTTCCTGCGATGCATTTCCTGTAAGGAAGCAGAGTATAATGTATAGAAAATATATTAAAATATATAAACTACATATATATATATATATATATATATATGTATATATATATATGTATTAAATATCTCTGTAAATGTTGCATTCATAGAAATAACGAGAAGGCATTAAAGGAAAAAGTGCGCTAGTGTATATGTGTGACAAAGAATTTTTCTTTTTGTGAGGCACAAACCGAGAATGGCGAAGGAGTGAAGCGTTGCCACAAGTCGAGAATTGAAAATGTAAACAATTCTTCCCCAGTAAATTTACGTCAAGTCGAAGTAGTTCATTGTCGTGCAGTTCAGTGCAGTTCAGTGTAGTTCAGTGCAGTTCAGTGTAGTTTGGTATGGTTTAGCTTAGTTTAATGCGGCTTAGTAGAGTTCAGAACATTTACTTGAGGAGGGCAGCCAGCAAGCAGTATTAGTCAAGTTTTATTGTTGAAATTGAGGTATACTTTTCGGTGCTTGACAATCTCATTTTTCAAAATATACTCGCAATATTGTGCTTAAAATAGAATTTTGTTGAGCTGATTAAAGTTTACGAAACTATTTTTAAAGTAAATTAAAATTGTTTAAGTTTGATTTAAGCAAAGAAAAAAAAACATTGAACTAATTAAAGGTTTTTTTATTTAATTTTCAAAAAATTTTATATTTACAAAATATATAGCCTTAACAAAATGTTAAACTGTAGTCACTATAAATTTAAAAAGAAAAAAATTAAAGAATTAAAAAATAAAAAAAAAAATATAATAAAAATTAGTTTTGGAAAAAAATGATTTAATGAAATTTTTATTTGGAACTGTTAGAAAATTAAAGAGTTAAAAAATAAAAAAATATTAATAAAAATTATTAATTAAAATTAGTTTTAGAAAAAAGATTGAACTAATTAAACGTTTTTTATTTAATTTTCAAAACATTTTATATTTACAAAATATATAGCCTTAACAAAATGTTAAATTGTAGTCACTATAAATTTAAAAAGGAAAAAATTAAAGAATTAAAAAATAAAAAATAAAAATATAATAAAAATTATTAATTAAAATTAGTTTAAAAAAAAATGATTTAATAAAATTTTTATTTGGAACTGTTAAAAAATTAAAGAATTAAAAAATTAAAAAAAAATTAATAAAAATTATTAATTAAAATTAGTTTTAGAAAAAAACATTGAACTAATTAAACGTTTTTTATTTAATATTCAAAAAATTTTATATACATAAAATATATAGCCTTAGCAAAATATTAAATTGAAGTCACTATAAATTTAAAAAGAAAAAATTAAAGAATTACAAAATAAAAACAAAACTTAATAAAAATTATAAATTAAAATTAGTTTTAGAAAAAAACATTGAACTAATTAAAAGTTTTTTATTTAATTTTCAAAAAAATTTATATTTACAAAATATATAGCCTTAACAAAATGTTAAATTGAGGTCACTATAAATTTAAAAAGAAAAAAATTAAAGAATTACAAAATAAAAACAAAAATTAATAAAAATTATAAATTAAAATTTGTTTTAGAAAAAAATGATTTAATGAAATTTTTATTTGGAACTGTTAGAAAATTAAAGAATTAAAAAATAAAAAAAAAATTTAATAAAAATTATTAAATAAAATTAGTTTTAGAAAAAAACATTGAACTAATTAAACGTTTTTTATTTGATTTTTAAAAAATTTTATATATATTAAATATATAGCCTTAACAAAATGCTAAATTGTAGTCACTATAAATTTATTAAGAAAAAAATTAAAGAATTAAAAAATAAAAACAAAATTTATTAAAAATTATAAATTAAAATTAGTTTTAGAAAAAACGATTTAACGAAATTTTTATTTAAAAATGTAAGAAAATTAAAGAATTAAAAAAAAATTTAATGAAAATAATAAATTAAAATAAAAATTAATAAATTAAAAAGATTTGACGAAGTTTTTATTTGAAACCATAAGAAAAAAGAATCGTTATTTCTTATGAAATAATTATTTAAATAACTTTTTACTTAATAGAGAACTTTCGAAAAGTAGGGAATTGCAAAAACAAAATTTTTATTATTTAATTAATAATTTATTGTTTTAATGATCAAAAATTTTTAGTAATAGTACCCTAATGATGATGCCTATAGATTATAGTAGAAATAACGGTAAAATAAAAACTTTTAAAAACAAACAAACAAACAAAATTTTTTACTATTTAACTATTGACTAATTAGGCCATAAAAAACCAAATCATTATTATTTCATTAATTAAATAATTGGCTGACCAGTTTGTCTGAGCTTTTTAGGGTACTATTATTATAAATAACAAATTTTTATTATTTAACTAATTTAATATTTAACTAAGCTGTTTATTTCTTATATTTAATTATTTGTAAATAATTTTTTGAGATTGCAAGTACCAATGGTTAATCACGTACCCTGCCACATTTGAAGCTTAGAGTTAGTGTTCATTAGCCGATTAACACAAAACCGTTCTTAACTTTTATGTTCTAACTTGGAGTCTTAATAATTTGCTAGCAAAGTTCATTAATAAATTCCTGTGCAGTTCTTCTATTAGAAAAAAATTATAAAATTAATTATACAACCTGGGGTACTTTAAAAGTTAAAATTTAAATTGGCAGTGAAAATATTTCAAAGTTATTTTTAAAATTTATTACTTTATTTAAAAGTAAAAGCCTTACAGAAAGCTTTTTTAATTTCGCATTCCTTGTAAATGTCGGTAGAAAAATAGGCATATTACAACCACCCGACCACCGAACATCTACTATATATACAAATATCTGCCCAATACTAATGTTTAGAATATCATTGAGAGCATTGCAAAACACAAAAAAAAAACTTCTACAAGCTTTAACTTAGTTTCGGACAATCCTAAACATATACACAACAGGTGATCTGGTGTCTTTTCTTCAAGCACCCGTAAACATGTACTACAAGAGATCCGACAGAGTAGACCAAGATTAACTCCATGCGGTTTTACAGTCTAATATCTCGTTACATTAAATAACAGATAAGATAATGATATTATCTTAGATATTACTTTTTACATAGATACTTCTACATATTAAGTTGGAGGTTCTACATTTGGAATTTAAGATCCATGTAGCTTTTGACTTAGCTGGTAATTTGCCTATGAACTTAACTTTTCAACAAATTTTTTATTATAAGACTTGAATTGCATTTAGATGGTTAGCAGAACACTTTTTCTCACCATAAAGGTAAACTGCAGCTGGAAAGTCATCAATTAATATTAGCACTGAAAATCTATTTGATAATCTCTTATTATAAAAGCTAAGTAAATGAAACGATGATAAAAAAATAAAATAAAAAAGAATTATTATTAATAATTATATATTATAAAATATTTTTATTAATAAATACCATCTTCTTTTGATATTGTTTGAAATAATAGATTCATATGACTGACCGGAACTTTTAGCATGAATAGTGCTTGCATGACTATGTTATATTGAGAAATAAAAAAATATTCTTTTAATAATATGAATTGTAATAAAATAATTGACATTTCACAGCTCTGAAGATCGAGAAAGGAAAATTTTAACATCATCACAATTTTAATTACATTTGCCTATTGAACTTAAATTGATATGTTTTTGTCATTTTTATAATATTTTTTATTTGATAAATGTTTACAAGAAAAGATAGCTATGGCGAAAATCTAGACCTTGAGTTCACCGCAACTGTTGACCTTACCAACCTTCGCTACGCCATTTTCAAGAATCCAGAACCCTTATAATTAAAATTAGTTAATAATTTTTGTTCTTAAAAAAGATTGACTTGGAAAAACAGTTAAAATTTAAGAAAAATAAAAGTGGTAAACGCTGCATGAGGTCTTAGTTTTTTCCTATCGCACGCCCCCAAAGCTACAGGCCATTATCCAGGCCATTATAACTAATTTGGAGTGAGTTAATTTGATTAATTTTTTAAAACATCAAAAATTAATTGAAAATAAATCGAATATAGCAAAAGCAAAAATTTCTTTCCTAAAGCTTATGTATTCACCATATAAATATTTCCTAAATTTGCTTCGTATATTTAGGGATGGAATATTTCTATTATAACTGATATGGAAAACATCTAAATTTAATTAACTAGTAGTTTTTCCTAACATTCCTATCAATTTGTATTCTAACTTGCCCCACTCTATAGTAATTACCGAAATCAAAACCATTGCTTACACGTGAGCCATAATCTAGAAACCCTAGTGTTCTTATTTTCCAATTTAATTCAATAGTTTATGAACATATATTAAATATAACCGTTATCAATAACATATTTTAGGTTTGCAAACACTTAAGACTTTCTGTAAAAACTCACACAATCAGTGGCTTTATCCGGATTTTTTTTTATAGAGTTTCTTTATAGAGAATTTGTGAGCATATGTAAACCCAAATTGTTTGCCAAATTATTATGTAAAGATATACGGACCCAAGTCGTTTCGTGACCTATTTCCGCTAATCTTTCACTTCAGTGGGGTCAATATAAAATATAATGATAGTTTAGTTTATAAACACATAACTAAAACATATATATTTTCTCTGACAGTAAATCAGCACACTCAGCACAACGCTCACTTCCAGTGACTTTAAAACTAATGTGGGAATGCCTTCAACTTCTCAAAGGTTTCACGAAAAGGAACAGGATCCACTTAATAAGTATCCCAGAACACAGCGGATTTGAGGAGAAAGAGAAAGCCGTTGAACTAGCCAGAAAATACATTGCTGAAAAAACGCAGCTCAGACTGATTAGGATAATGTAATTACCTGCAGACAAGCTGAAGAATTCATATTGAATCGATTTGTCACAGGGTTTCTCACTGTACATTGCGGGTTAAATAAAAATCTGTCAAAACTAGGTATTACAAGAGACGACAGCTGCAGACTTTGTTGCAAAGAAGAGGAAACAGCAGAACACGTTCTCTGTCACTGTGGTAGTCTTGCCAGACTTAGACTTCGGAGCTTATCAACTGCCTATTCCCCTATAACGGAAACAGGTAACATTTTTCCAAAGGACGGCATTTATGGCATTTAAAACTGCTACGCGCCTATGAAACTAAAGTGGGTTTATCACAATACTCCTCAAAGGATTCAGCGATGTAGTGACATAGTTCTCAACCCTTTCAAAAACTGATCTAATCTAATCAAGTTTATAAAACTTAAATTAATAATTATATACAAAGTGCTGGCTATTGACGCATACGCATACTGATATTAAATTTTTTCTAGTAAACATCTTATATATATTCTATTAATTAAGATATTCTTGTAAATATATGCCATTTTATTAGTTTCCAAACAATACTGAATTGTTAGTCCAAAAATAAGTGTACGTTCTTTAATGCATTTATAAGAAATTTGCCTTTAATTGTGCCTTCTTCGAAGGTATGTCTATTTGTTATGATCAAATTGTTGCCTTAAATTTTCTATGGCATTTAAAAACACATTTGCATTCATATATATGCAATCCCAAGTCATTTACGTTATTGACAGTATTTGTCCGTCATCATCTGAAGACCCACGTCAAAATAATTTATATCAAATTTTAGTGGCATTACCAAACTGTCAAGTGAAAAATTTTTTGTGATTCCTCTAGCACGACATAACATACAACAATAATAAAACATAATAACAATAATAAACAACTTCGAACAATACCAACAATGCTAACAATGCTAACAATAAAACTGATAAAAAGCCGAAGGCAGAAGGATAAGACACAATCCTACATCGCTCTATTGCAATGTCTTCACTTGTTAACAGTCGTTAGGATTGCCGTACAGATTGTCGGCGTGCGTTCGATAATTTCCAATGCCCAACGTCCAACGTCCAGCGTCCTGTATGGCTTACCGCTCATTTTACCATCTTACCATTATAAATCTTTGTATAGCCCACCCATTTCATGCCGAACTTACCTTAACGTTTGGTAAACATGCTCGGCCATTGTTACATCGCCGCAAACGTAGATGTGTCCCTTTTCCTGTACAATCAAGTTGTACAACGAATCAAATTCCTGTTCAATCAGATCCTGCACATAAGTCTGTAATGAAATAAAACGAAACATTGGACAATTTAGCCAAATGCAATCGGAAATCGTTTAAAAAACAAATGACAAAAGGTAATTTATTTGTTGGTCGTGTCTTTTGTTCAACAAGACAACGGGTCTCGATGAATGGCACGAGTATCGGACTGAACTAGGCGAGAGTAGAGCTGTTTGTAATAAATGAAATTGTGGAGTTAAGGACTCAAAATTGCTCTACTTCACTGTAAAGAAAACAATGAATGAATGTCGTGCATTCAAGTTGTTGGATGTTTGGAAACTCTTGAAGTATACTCGAAGTAAATAAAAAATTCGAATAGTGAATGTGATTATGTTCAACTTACTTTGGGTACATTTGGCTCACGTGAAAGTGCCAAAAAGACTCGATCTAATATTTGGTCACGCACCAGCTGGTCCTTTTCTTCAGCATATAAATTGACATCACGATTGCGACAGCCAAAGAAAAGCCAAACTTTCGGCAAATGTTCTGGAGTGTTAATTTCGCGCCATATTTCCAGTTCCTGCCAAAATGAACGAAACGGTGCAATTCCAGTTCCTGGTCCTATCAGCACAATGGGCTTTGAATGCTCTCTTGGCAAATGGAAACCAGGGGCGCTACGCACAAATATATGCAAATCATCCTGTTCCTTCAAACTTGCTAAATAATTGGAACAAACACCGAAACGTTCATCGCCGGAACCATCTTCGCTGCGATATCTTACAACAGCCACTGTTAAATGTATCTCATTATTGACTTTGTTTGGTGAGGATGAAATTGAGTAAAATCTTGATTGCAGCGGCATTAGATTTACTAATACCAAAGAAGCAGGAGGTGTGCATGATGGAAATTCTTCTAGCACTTCCAACAAATGTGGTAAGCGCCAATGTCGCCAATCTTCGTAAGCTGATGAATCACTTACTAGTACTTGCAAACGTTCAACATCTGCAGGATCTTCACAGAAACCAGACAATAGTGTTAGCATCTGTCGACTAGGTGGCGTTGTGATGTCAAAGAAACGTGAAAGTAAATTACGTAAAGTGTCTGCTGGTATTCTATCATGCGGCTCCCAGCATTTGAAGATGCCATTTGAGGTTTGTTTCTCTTTCAATAATTGTAATTGCAGAATTTCATCAGGATTATCGAAACCACTCAAACGTTGTATTATACCATCCACAATTTCTGCACGATTAGCTGGAAATATACCAACGTGATCACCAGGTTCATAGTCTATTGCGGGTGCACATATTTCCAGAAGTATTGTGGTTTTTTCACCATTGCCTTGATTTGTTAGATTAAGTGGTGCCCTCTTAATTTTACAACAATTGACCTTCTTGTTGTGATACTTGGAAAGCAAGTTTTCAAGACTACTGACGGTTGTAGATGGTAATAAACGCACATTGTTTACAGTAAGTGAATCGTTTTGCAGTGCCAATGAAGCATCCGTTAAGCTTTCAGGATCTAAGCAAAAAGTCTCGCAAGCCAACTTGAAAGAAAAACCAAATCCGAAAAAAACATTTTAATTTTTAATTAAGATTTGCCTTTTTATTATAATATACATTCATTTATTTAATATTTACTAATTAGAAAATATTTAAAATTTTATACTAAGTAAATTAAGTAAAATAGACAAAAGTGATTATTTTACTTAATAAAAACTATTATATTTAATAAAGAGGTTTTTCTAACAGTAGCGAATTGCAACAACAAAATTTTATTATTTCATTAATAATAATTGCATCACCTATACTCTATACTGAATTTAATTTATATTAAAAACTATTTATCAATATGTATCAATGCTATTTTGAAAAAGAACTATTATATAGGTGATACTTTAAGGACTGTAGTTTTACTTACCTTAAAGACCTCTGGAGCCCACTTTCGAAAAGATTGTTCCTGACCGCACATTTCATCGCCGTATGCTATTTTAAGCAACCTTTCGCCACCAAGTTCACCTAAAATATTGTCCATATACTGACCGAATGCACAGAAATTCGGATAAGCCGAAGAACCAAGCGCAAACACTGCAAATCTGCAGAAAAAAAATACTTATAGTTCGTGGCTTATTATATATCTTATATATAAAATTAACATTGTCAAAATGTTAGTTACCGTACTCCTCCGAAACGGCTTTACCGATTTTTACCAAATTTTATATGCGTATTTAGTAGGTCTGGGAATCGGCTACTATCTATTTTTCATACCGCTAAAGTGATTAGGGTGTCCCTATCCAGCAAAAATATCTTTATTGCTTTAACAAAAATTTTTTTATTTTTTTGACTTAAATTTTTTCATATTTTTGAAAAAGAAAACTTGCTATGATATGAAAAGTTGTTGTCTATAAAAATACTGAATTCATAAAACTGCCCCCTAATTTCTGCACTATCGTTGATTCCCAAAATGCTCTTATTGACCGCGTATTTCCAGATGTACACATACAATACATAAATCATGGGTGGCTGGCAGAAAGAGCCATTAGCAGCAAAAAAAACGTGGACGTTGATGAATTAAACTTCAAGATAAAACAGACATTGCCAGGCGACTTAATATCATACAAATCGATCGATACAGTTTGTGATACCAACGAAGTTGTAAACTATCTAGCAGAGTTTTTAAACTCACTGGATTTGCCAGGCATGCCACCACACATTTTACGACTGAAAGTTGGATCACCGATTATTTTACTTCGGAATTTGAACCCACCACTGCTATGCAATAGTAATGTAAATGTAAATGCTCCTCCAATGAACAAAAACGGTGAAATTACGCTCTACCAAATTGGTCGGTACATCAGCTCCAATGAAGCTGCTTGGCGTATCTTCGGTTTTCTAATTCATGAACGGGATCCAGCAGCTGTTCAGTTAGCCGTCCATCATGAAAACGGTCAGCTTGTATTTTTCACGAACGAGACAGTGATTGATCGTGGTACAAATCCACCTAAATCTACACTCACTGCATTTTTTGAATTGTGTAATAGTACGGGTGATTTTGGTGCCTTTGCAAGAACATTACTCTATTCACAAGTACCACGCTATTTCACATGGGCTCAAACAAAAAAATGGATGCCCCGCAAGCAAGTTTCACCAGTTGATGCATGTCTCAATTTATTTAAATCGAACGCTTATTTACAGTTAATCCAAGACACACTGAGTGCTTTAATCTTCGACTGTTGTTGGTTAATGTTACTGGCCCATTATCATTATTATTATTTACAGTCAATCCAAGACAATTTAAATTTGAAGATACAACAGTTGTTGCCAGGGAACTTGGTATCTTACAAATCTATTGATTTTAAATTAATAATTTAATAAATAAACTATAATAACTTAAAAATAATATTGTTTGGCGTTTGTTATTTTTATTTTCCTTTTCGTTCATAGCGCTCCATGCCTATTTCATGCATATACCACATACTTACACACTTATAATAAGTAAGTTACTTTTTGTCTACACTAGAATTTATCTAGAAACTAGAAATAATTTATAAGGCAAAACAACGTTTGTCGGGTTATCTAGTTATTATATATTATATTTTTATATTATAATATTATTATGTTATATATTATTATATATGTTATATATTATTTATTGTATATAGATGCCATAAAGAAAACATCATATACCTTAGATATATTGTTTAAGAAATTTAGGTATAAATTTACACTTAAACTGAGCTCGTTCTAAAGATTTAGCAAGAATTTTAGGCTAGTGATTAGAATTACAATAATAGAAAAGATTATTCATAATTAACATTTGATTTTAACGTCAGTTATGACGGTAGTGACTATTTTACTTAATAGAAATTATTGTACGTAAGTAATAAAGAGATTTCGAACAGTAGTAAATTGTAACAACAAAATTTATATTTATTTTTAATAAATTAATTTTTTGGCTAGCCATACAGCTGTTCCCAGTATTACATCATCATCATCAATAGTTTTGGAATTATTTCTTATATCTATTTATTAGTTATTCGTAAATAATTAGTTTTTAAGACTGCAAGTACAAAGGATTAAGCTCGTACCCTGCCAAATTTGAAGCTCAGAGTCAGTATTTATTAGCCCACCGACTAATGAACTTTGAGCCTTGGTAATTGCAGTTCCAAAAAATTATTTACTTATTTACTTTTAATTAAATAGAAGAAATGCTTGAAACAGCTGTATAGTTGATCAAATATTCAATTAATTAAAAATAAATTAAAATTTTGTTGTTGCTATATATTCAGTTATTTGAGTTTTAAAATTTTCAGTTTTTTCTTAGCGTTTATAACAGACTGATTGGCTGCTTATTTTAAAAGAGCGTGAAACTCGTTCCACGATTTGGGATCATGATGAAGATCCATGTTTTAGATGAAGATCCATGTTTATTATCATACCGTGCCCAGTATGATAATAGCGTCTGTTAGTTGTGAAACTCTATCCAGGGTTTTTATATAAATTCTTAATACAACAGATATTAATCCAACTATATCATGGCGCAAAATTCTTTTTACAAATATTAACCAGCTCCTTTATTTCTTACAAAATGCTGTATAAGCATTCATATTGCAGACTTAAAATTTTCTTACATGATATTGTCAGGTTACGATCAAAGTCTATATGCCAGCAGTATTGTAGTGCTTTAGGTGCTGTTAATCGAATCTACTACTAATCGTATGTACTAATAATTCTACTAATTGAAAGCTTCCAGAAATTTTCTTCACTACTTGAAATGTGTGATTTTTTTCAGGATATAGGTCGTTTAACGATTTGCTTACATTTTATTTGCTTGGTATTAATTTTTTTTTTTGGGCCAACCTGCAGACCCTCTATATAACAAATTATGTATTCATTACTTCAAATGGATATTATTGTATTAAGATATTCTTGTATTCTTGTATTGTATTCATTCCTAAAATATGATTTTAGTGGGTTCAAGTCTCACACTGCAAAACAGCAAGCAAAAAAAATACTCTTACCTGTCATAATGGACCTTAATGGTTTACGCTTAGCCTTTTTGGTCTGCCAACATAACCTAACCTAACCTAAAACTAATTTTATACTTAATATATACTTAATTTATACTTAATTTAAACTTAATTTAAACCTAATTTATACTTAATTTATACATATTTTAAATAAAAAACAGACAATTTTTCTATATATATGGACAACAGCATTTCTACTTACCGCACATTTGACAGCGGCCCAAAGGTTTCTTCAGTGAAGGTGTCAGAAGCGGAACCACGTAAGGAATCCCAACGATCAATTTTTTTTATGTGTTGCAAGGGCAACTTAATCAAATCTTGCCTTGAACTGGCTTTCATGAACGACTTGGATGAGGTGACACCCATGCTAAAAATATATAAAAATAAATGGAAAGAATTAAAGCATTGAGCAAAATATACATGAATATCAAAGAAAATAATTTCGCTAGAAATGCGGTAAAGGATGCGAGACTCGAATCTACTACCCGCACAAAGAGTGTCTGGTGATATATCTTGTTGCTGCCGTGTTGTTGTTGTTATGCTGTTGTTATTGTTGTTCTCCTCTTCGTTTTATTATCTCAATTTTTTTTTGCATTGTTTAAACAATGCAGCAAAGTCAAAAACATTTTTATTGAAATGTTAGAATGTTTCTTAATGAAAAGCAGTCATATTTCAAATGCCAACAAAAGGCAACAACAAATATTAACAAGAAAAACGCCAAGCCCTTAACTGCAGAGCTGCCGTAAAGAGCATGCAAAATAAAAATTTAGAACAAAAAACGAATTTGAGAGCAAAAAAAAGCGATAAAAATAATGAAAGTGACAGCAACACATTTATAACGCTTGTCATTTATGCATGTTAACAAAACAGAAGCGGGGAATATAAAACAACAAAAAGTAAATCAACAAAAAAAAAAATAAAATAAATATTGGAACCGTCGGGAAATGGGTAAAGTGGGAGGTAAAGGATTAAAACGCGAAAGAACATTTGTTGCTCATATTACACCGTCAAAGAGTTACTGTTGATGTGATGTGATGAAGTATCATCAGAGACGTCAACGTCAACGTCAACGTGAACGCAAACATCAGCGCCAGCTTTATGTCAGCGTAGAGATGTAGTATAGCAATTACGTGCTGTCGTGCAGCAGCAAAAATTCATCTGTAAAGTGCGTTAAGAGCAGCAGCCAACGCTTGTAATTATTATGAAATGTTACAAAAATAATATCACTAGTAAAATTTATGATCGGTCTTCTTGGTGCTATAAAAGATACATTTTTCAATTTCAGTTACGCACGAATATTAAGAGCTCCTAATGGCTTCATGTACGTTTGTAAGCCTTGAAAATTGTACTCGTATGTATCTGTGTGCAGTTAAAATTGCATATTGTCTATGAACAATACTAAACCTGTACATTTTAATTTGTATTGTTGAACGCAGAAAGCAAACACCTGTTAACAGTACTCAAATTATTTTTCAGTAATATGGAATATAAACCAAATACCCTGAATGTTCCAGAGCTATGACGGAAAAACTTAAAGAGGATAATTTTTTTTCTGTTTGCTGCACTAATCAAGATTAAGAAAAATACATAAGAATAATGTACACTATATACACAGTACAGAAGGCATTCGAAATTGGTAAATATTATAAAATATACAAAAAATTATTGATCACATTTTGGAATTTATTCCTAGTGCCAACACTTGACCCAAATATCCATACATATATTTTGTCCAGAGAGTATCAGATCATTAAAAAAGCTCGCTTAAAGGGACTGTCGATTATTGAGTTTTAGTGTCGCTTGTTATTTATATTGTTAACAAAACTTTATTGACACCTTAAAGATTTTAAAGGAATGCCAATGTGTTCATTTTACGTGAATATTTATTTATGAGAAAGCGGCAACCACTATTTTCAAACTGAAAGTCGCATTTTAAACAACGCGTCGATGATTCTGAGAGGTGTTTGGACCGGATGTAGTGAGATAAAGAGGAATTTTTTGTCGATGTAAAGCAATTAAAGAAATTTGAATTTACTTTATCATTCGAATAGATATACAATAGACAAATAATAAATGTATAGGTAGTTAGCTAAGTAGAGAGTAAATGGTGAATCTCGCACAAGATGGTCAAATACGCAAAGGTTTGGCCAGTTGTCCTTATATTGACGTGCGGCTGGAATTTTGTTCATCAAATACCTTGAAAAAGACGAAGGGTCAGATGCTCAAAAACTACATGGCTCGACTAGTACATTTAAAGCAGAAGTTAAGAGAAACAACAGCTCCATATAAAGAAGTTCTCCATCACTAATACTATATGCAGTGTAAGAAGTTATTGTCTACCGCAGTCAAATTCCATGACTTGGATTTTGAATTGCTTCCACATCCAACGTATTTACAGGTTACAGACAAAACTTTAAAAAACAAGAACCCTCCAGAGAAGAGGAAGTGACGCCGATAAAAATAAATTAATAAATTTTCGCTGAAACTGAGTCATATTTTAAGAACAAAGATGAATCATTCTACACAAGAGATGTCAAAATTTTAGAGAAGTGCTGTTTGGAGACTTCAAAAGGATCCTTTAGAGAAAGATAACTGTTTCTGATGAGTGGTAACAAAGTTTTAGAGAAATGTTTGAATGATTGTACTACTCTTAAAGATGGTATATTGATGAATAACATTATTTATTATTTATTATTATTTATCCTATAAACTTATCAACCGATGTGTTATATGATATCTTAAATTCGATGTCGACGATATTTTAAGGCGAACTAGAAACGCAAATTTCCCTTTACGAGACAACACTAATAAACCAAAAAACAAACTTATTGCACCTTTGTCCAAAGATATTTAGAACTAATTCTTGAAAAATTATCAATAAATAAATTATCCATATTTTTTTTTGAAAATTACGAGCGTTAAACTTTAATTTTTTTTAATTACTGTGTAATTAGTTAGTTTTTTTTTTTAATTATTTATTTTTAGTTCATACTAAGATTTTCTGTATTAGTATTTAAGTATAGTTTTTATAAAAAAATACCTCAGTGACCTAAAATACGTCGTAATTTTGGGTATATTTTTATTGTGATATTTTTTTTTAAAAAAAATAATCAATGAAATCAAAACAAAGATTTAATCTCTCATTTGTTTTTGTGAAAAGAAAAAAAAATTATTTTTTTTTCTATAAAAGTAATGATGAACATTTTTTTGGTGCTATGCACCAGCGCATCATGACAAAATGTGGATAAAACTGCATCCTTGCGTTGGCTTAATCACATCCTTTCTATTTTATTTCACTGCTTTTTACTTAACAGTGCCTCAGCATTGCCTTAGCATTGAATGATGACACATGAGGCCCTAACGTAGAATGTGGGCGATGAGCGGCATTTTATGTCAACTAAACAAAAAATGTCAAATAAATAAATGAGTCAGTGTGAGTATTGAATATAAACAGAAACACAACACATATACACTTATGTACTATACACACACAAACAAATAGCAGCGCATATTTATTGTGATTTGTAGCATTTATTATTGTTGTTATTTTTTTTTTATTTTTTTTGTTTTTGGTTTTTCTTAAACACTTTTTCTTTTACTCTTCTTGATATATTCAAAGTACGTCCGTTCGCCTGCACGCAATGCACTTTTTTGCTAGCTATGTTAGGCATGTTTGTGTGTTGATGTTGTGTGTGTGTGCGTGTGTGTGTGTTGGAACATATTACAAAATTTATAGCAAATAAACATTGCGTTGATGTACGTATCCTTGGGTGCTTAAAATAAGCTTAACTAACATTTGTGCGCGAGGTGTAATTAGTGCTTGGTGTTGTAACTGTCACTCTGTAATGGCTGCAGTGGCAGTGGTAGCACTAACAGTGGCAGTGGCATTCGCACTGGCAGTAGCCGCTTACAGTCTGTGCAATGACAACTGTTCACTATTACACTGTTAATAGTGTATTCCATATTTTTTTGTGTTTTTGTTTTTGTTTTTGTGACTTTACTTTGATTATTTCCTTTTCAGTTTTTGTTTGTGCTTTTATTTCATGCTACGTTTCAGTGTATTTGTGTGTGTGTGTGTTTTTTTTATTCTTATACTGTAATATATCAAGTAAAAGCAAGTAAAATACAACTGTTGCTGCACTTGCTGCTGTCGGCGTCACTATTAACGCTACTTGCTTTTCGCAACTGATGTGTCAAATTGTATGCTGCGCAACTGCATATACAATGCTATATATGTGTGTATGTATGTAGGTATGTACACATACATAGTGTTTGGTGCTATAACTGCTGCATTGTAATTGCGTTGTTGTTGATAGCTTACTTGCGAAGCTGCTTGTTGATTTGTACAAAAGCAACAAATTAATGCCCTCCTCATTATTGCACACACACACACACACACAACCCGATGCGCTGTTTACTCTATTTCTGGGTTTAATAACGAAATGCGTTTAGCAAGTACTTAGCCATGTAGAAAAGTAGCAAAGTAGCAAGTAGCAAGTAGCAATGTTGTTAGCAGAAGTGCAATTATTTCCACACTTAAGCCAAATGAACGACGATTTAGTTAAATTTTAGCCAGAGTGAAGTGTGTATACTTCGTTCATCTCTATGCAAATATTTTTAAAGGACTTGTAATTATACACTTACGGCATCCTTATAGCTATAATTTAGTTGCACAATATTATTTTAACTTAAAGTGCACTTATGTTAAAGTGTTGAAGTGCAAAAGTGCACAAGTGTCCGAAAGGTGTGAAATGTATGAAGTGTGCTATAAGTGTGAAATGTACATATATACAAACATTATTTATATATAATGAGTGTACAGTACTTACAATGCACATATACTAAGTACATATATAAGATAAATTTATCTGTTTAAATTGCAATTCGACAGTATTCAACATATTTTAATTAACTTTTTTTTCAACTTTTTAAATAACTTCTACTTACAATAATTATAGTTCCTCAAAAGACATTTAAAGCATTTTCATACAGGCAAAAAGCAAAAAAAAAAAACTTTTTAGTGTATATTGTAAATTTACTGTCAAATAGAGCAAGAGCCAGAGCAATTTCTGTAGTTGCCATTATATCTGCTATCCGTACTATCATTACCAATATCATCCACACATTCCCAACTCTTGCTTCTCTATTCCATTGGCCGCTAAACACCACTAAACATTATCGCCTACAGCTGCTCTTACTACTGTAACAGCAGCAACAGCAGCAGCAGCAGAAACAGAGACAGCAGCAGCGTCAGCGACAGAGGCAAAAACCATGACATATCAAGAAAGCAACGTTGTTCGGAAACGGATGCGCACGCCAACTTTATTATGTTCTTTGCGTATGTTCTATGGTACAAGCGTATGTGTA